GGCCAAGGTTAAACCTAAACATCATTCGCAAATTTTTAATCGACTTTATGGTAAAACAAAAACTAAAATAAAATATAAATTTAAAATTGATGATAGAGTTAGAGTTTCTAAAAAACAAAAAACTTTTATGAGAGGTTATTTACCCGGATGGAGTAAGGAAATTTTCATTATAAAAGAACAACATCCTACAAATCCAGCTACTTATGTCCAGAAAGATTATAACAACCACACGATTAAAGGACGATTTTATAACAAAGAATTGCAGAAAGTAAAAAATGGATAATTTTTATGTGACTCTAATAAGCTCTGTGAGTATGGATTTTTTTCCAAAAAATACTCAATCCTCTTTCACATCGAAAATTAATCCACCGATAAATTTAACAGGATCTCGGGAAGTGGCTTTATCCCAAATAATAATACCATGTTCGTGGTTTAATATTACTAGTGAAAATAACAAATACGTCATTACTACTAAAGATATGAAATTGATTAAAATAAAAGCCGAAGATTTATCTACTCTAATTCCGTTACAACCTATGCAAGGAAATAACTCGAGTCATATATTCGAGAATATTACGAATAATTTGAAAGTTTTGAAAAAGGATCATTTTATTAATTTTTCTTTTAACAAAGACGATAGCACTGTGAAAATTTACGTCGCTAATAATTGCGAATTGCATGTATATCCAGATAGTGGGGGTATATTTCTCTCTATGCTGAATTTAGATAATCAAAATCCGTTCATTATACAGGGAGAAGAAGAACAAACATTTCGATATACTCTGTCTTTACAAGATTTTAGTGGAAAATTTTTTACTTTAATCGAGAAAAATAGGTATATAGAAGAAATAAGAACCGAAAATGTTGAAAATATATTACATATACCGAGAGGACTATATGGAACAAAAGATTTTCTTAAAGCATTTCAGATAATAAGTTTTAAATCGCTTCCGGATAAAAAGCTATTATTAAAAATTCCACGAGGATCTTCCATCAAATTTAATAGACAATTAAAAGATATATTAGGATTTGATCAATTAGAATATCCCGAAGGTAAATTTATAGGGACGTATGCTTTAGAATTAAACGCTGGAATAACGGAAATATTTGTATATTCTAATATAATAGAATCTCATCATGTAGGGGATACTTCGGCTCCATTGTTTCGAGTAATCCCCGTTATAGGAGAAAAAGATCAACAAATCGATAAAATTTACAACACTCCATTATTTTTTCCCGTTCGAACCAATCACATCGAGACTATATCTATAGATCTACGCTCATCCACGGGTGAAAATATAATTTTTACTTCTGGAAAATCGCTTTTGGTATTATGTTTTAGACGAGTATAAAAATCCATTTTCACAAAAGAATCATTTATTTAATAAAATGAAGCTTAAACCAGAGGAATGTATCGCTTATTATCGATCACAGACGGGGGGATTTTTTTATCCCGATTCTATATATTCGCACACCCATTATTTTACCCCCCAATCGGGATTCGGACAATACTTTAAAGATCGTCCAATCCAAAGAGGATACGGATTTTTTGGAGACGTGTTCAGACAAGCAATTCCAATATTAAAAGATGCGGAAAAATATATTGGAAAGAAAGCGTTAAATATAGCGAAAGATATCGGATCGGATTTACTCAGCAGGAAATCGTTAAAAGATTCCGCCCGATCACGTATAAAAAAGCTAGGTGAAGAAGTGAGAGATGACATCATTCAAAAAGTTCAAAGCGGATCGGATAAAAAACAAAAACGTCGAAGAAAAAGCGTAAAACAAAAGAATCATAAGAAGAGGAAGGAAGTCGATATTTTTTCTTAAGAATAAATGGATTTATCATCATGTCCGTGCAGCAAGTCGGAGCTCGATTTCTTTCAAACAATACCAACACAGCTGGCTGTAGAAAATTCCACCCCCACAATTCTTTTCCCCATAGCCTCCATAACTAACCAAACATATCCTATAGAATTTTTAATTCCTGGTTCGGGCGAAAGCTTAATAGATTTGAGCAGTATTTCGATTAATGCGCAATTATCCGTTACTAAACGAAATGGAACGACTACTTTGAATACCGATCTCGTTACTCCAGTAAATAATTTATTGCATAGCATGTTTTCATGATGTACCACTTTGTTTAATGATAAATTAGTATCGACGCATATAAACTATCCTTATAAAGCGATAATAGACGCTATCATATTTTAATCTGAAGAAGCACAAAAAACTTATTTAACTAGTTCGTTTTTCTACAAAGATACCGCTGGATTTTTAAACGAAACCGATCCAATTAAAGATGCTAAGAATGAAGGATTAATCGCCAGATTTAAGAAAAGTAGTCAAAGTCAAGTATTGGATTTATATGAACGACTTCATTTCGATTTTATTAATCAACCTAAATTATTGATAAACAGCATAGATGTTCGAATAAAACTGGAACGTTCAAAAGACGCTTTTGCTTTAATGGCGAATAGCGATAATTATCAGATTCGATTAAAGAATATTACATTAAAAGTAAACAAAATAGAAGTTAGTCCTAGCATCTTAATTGGAATGGAAAAAGCATTAAAAAATTCCGTAATTAAAATGCCTTATCGACGAGTCAACATTAAAGTTTTTACGCTAAGTAAAGGTATATTAAGTTCAAATATTTTAAATGCAATAATCGGTCAAATTCCCAAAAGAATTATAATCGGATTAGTACGTAATAACGCATTTAATGGACAGATCAATTTAAATCCTTTCAATTTTGAAAATTTCGATTTAAATTATATTTCTGTTATAAAGGATTCGATTTTAATTCCTCCTAATCCTTATACTCCCGATTTCGATGAAAAAAGCTATGCTCGAAGTTATGCAACATTATTCGAAGAGATGGGTGGAATTCCCTACGGAAAATACGCTAATATATCGTATTCTGACTACACGCAAGGATATATGTTTCACGTGTTTGATTTAACTCCTGATAAGGCAGCGTCTGAAAATCATACATCGATATTAACACATGGAAACATTTCTGTAGACTTAAAGTTCAAAAGATCTTTACCGGAGACGGTCAACGTCGTGTGCTTTTTAGAGTATCGTAATACAATAGAAATTGATCAATCTCGGAATATTTACATTGACTACTAAACGATGGATACGATTACCCTATGGAAACTAGCATTAGGAGATTCAGAAATTAGCAAGACATTTGGAGGCGTCTATCCGTCAGATTTATTACCCGAAAAAATTGGAAAGAAGAAAGGATTTATAATTAATACCGATAGCAGTCTAAAGCAGGGACAACATTGGATAGCAATATATTTTCAAGATTCGACATGTTTTTACTTTGACTCGTATGAATTACCTCCTAAAAACCGATCGATTATAAAATTTATTCGTCGGAATTCGAAACAGTTACGCTGGAATCAATTAACTTTGCAAGGACCGTATAGTTTTACGTGCGGATACTTTTGTCTATATTTTCTCTATAAAATATCAAGAAATCAAGATATTCGAATGTTACAACCTACTACTAAACTATTCAATGATGCTTTTGTAATGAGATTTATACACAATAATTTCCGTTTGGGTAAATTACCATCTAATATAAAAATTAAATGTAATCAATGTAGCATTAGTTTACTCAAATAAAAAGTCTATTTAAAANATGGGTGGAATTCCCTACGGAAAATACGCTAATATATCGTATTCTGACTACACGCAAGGATATATGTTTCACGTGTTTGATTTAACTTAGGATAAGGCAGCGTCTGAAAATCATACATCGATATTAACACATGGAAACATTTCTGTAGACTTAAAGTTCAAAAGATCTTTACCGGAGACGGTCAACGTCGTGTGCTTTTTAGAGTATCGTAATACAATAGAAATTGATCAATCTCGGAATATTTACATTGACTACTAAACGATGGATACGATTACCTTATGGAAACTAGCATTAGGAGATTCAGAAATTAGCAAGACATTTGGAGGCGTCTATCCGTCAGATTTATTACCCGAAAAAATTGGAAAGAAGAAAGGATTTATAATTAATACCGATAGCAGTCTAAAGCAGGGACAACATTGGATAGCAATATATTTTCAAGATTCGACATGTTTTTACTTTGACTCGTATGAATTACCTCCTAAAAACCGATCGATTATAAAATTTATTCGTCGGAATTCGAAACAGTTACGCTGGAATCAATTAACTTTGCAAGGACCGTATAGTTTTACGTGCGGATACTTTTGTCTATATTTTCTCTATAAAATATCAAGAAATCAAGATATTCGAATGTTACAACCTACTACTAAACTATTCAATGATGCTTTTGTAATGAGATTTATACACAATAATTTCCGTTTGGGTAAATTACCATCTAATATAAAAATTAAATGTAATCAATGTAGCATTAGTTTACTCAAATAAAAAAGTCTATTTTAAAAAACTAAAAAAAAATGTGTTTTTATTAAACCTGAAAAAAAAACTAATATTTAATTTAATCGCCCATATCTGAAAAAAAAAGCCAAAGAAATATTTTTACTCACCATTAATTTTTTATTGTTTTAATAAACATAATCTATTCTATTGATTCTAGAAATAAAAAAAGAAAATTAAATTAAAAAAAAAAAAATACCTACAACTTCAAATAAAATAAAAAGGGTGTCATCATGTTCCACCACTATCTTATTTTCTTCATTATAATAAATGACTGCTTCTTCATCTTCCATAATTTTTATTATTCTGTCGCAAACATAACTTTTTCCATTATGGTAAAAGGTGTATTATTTATAAATTTTTTTATTAATAACAGTATAATCCTGTGGTCTTAAATATATATATGGAACATGATGATTAAAATTATAAATATTGGAAAACTCCCAATCTTTATCTGATTCATCTACAAATTAAAATTTTTTTAAAAATTTTACTAAAAAAATATATAAGATTTTTCTACAAATTAAAATTTTAAAAAAATTTGTTTTATAAAATATAAAAAGATAATTACCTTTTTCTTCTAACACAAATGCTTCTGCATTTTCGTTGTTAAAAATTAAGTCATCTAAAGAAAAAATGTTTATATATTCCCATATTTCATCTAATGTGTGATACCCCACAAATATTTTATCACTTCTTTTCAAACTATATTCAATGATAATTTTAATTTCTAAGATTCCAGAAATCATCTTTTTTAACCATTTTCAATGAGAAATCAAAATATTTATATTGTCGACCATTTTTTTATCTCCCTTAAAAATATTTTTTTTTTTAAAGGCTTTTCACCCAGCTGTCTAATGTAATATGTTTTGTTTTTTCTTCAAGACTTACCACTCAGCTGTCTAATGTAATATGTTTTTTTTTTCTTCAAGATTTACCACCCCAGCTGAGATGTAATATGTTTTTTTAAAACTCCCCACACACTTTTTTCTTTAATACATTCTCAAGAAAAAATTCACACCCCATTATTCAGTATTAACAGTGTCAAAGAGTAATAACCCTTATTATCAAAAGAATATAAAAGCGAGAGAAATAGACAAATAGATTTATTAGTTTATCAACTCTCTCTCTACAGCTAAGCAAGAAAAGATGTCTATGGAAGGTAAGCTAGATTTTTTTTTATTTAGATTTTGATTTTAAATAAGTAAATTAAATTATTATTTTTTTTATAGTTATTCATCTTTTTTTATAGATTCTCAGTCATTGTTTGTAATCGACAACCCCTTTACAACTAAAAAGCGTAAATTGACGACAAAAATCGATGATGCACCGGTGGAGAAAAAAAAAAAAGTATGACTTAGTCATATTGAAGGACGAATCCTCGTTTAAAAGTGACCCGCCGTATTCGATATACATATCACATGGGTTTAACCTGGAAATTAAAGAATTCAGACAACAGTATTATATATGTTTAGCGAAAACAAGTGCTAAAGGTGAGATACAGAATAGATTCAACATCCCGGTAAAAGAAGTTAATTTTTTTATTCAAGCTTCGAACGCAGTTCAAAAATATCTGAAAGATTTCATTTGAATAAATGAAAATCTACGCGTAAGTAATTTTTTTAATATAATGTTTTTAAAAAATTATGTAATTTAATTGATTTTTTTTAAAAAAAATAGAAATATTGCGAACATCGCTCACTCTCTCTCAAAATATGAAGAAATCATTGTAGTCTAGTTTATTATCTCTCGCATATAAAGAAATCGTCTAGAATCATTAACCCGTTGTAGTATAGTTCCGCATCTCTCTTATATGAAGAAATCATCTAGAAACATTAACTCGTCAGGTAAATTTTAAAAAGAAAATGTTTTTGCTGGTAGAATCAGCNATATAAAAGCGAGAGAAATAGACAAATAGATTTATTAGTTTATCAACTCTCTCTCTACAGCTAAGCAAGAAAAGATGTCTATGGAAGGTAAGCTAGATTTTTTTTTATTTAGATTTTGATTTTAAATAAGTAAATTAAATTATTATTTTTTTTATAGTTATTCATCTTTTTTTATAGATTCTCAGTCATTGTTTGTAATCGACAACCCCTTTACAACTAAAAAGCGTAAATTGACGACAAAAATCGATGATGCACCGGTGGAGAAAAAAAAAAAAGTATGACTTAGTCATATTGAAGGACGAATCCTCGTTTAAAAGTGACCCGCCGTATTCGATATACATATCACATGGGTTTAACCTGGAAATTAAAGAATTCAGACAACAGTATTATATATGTTTAGCGAAAACAAGTGCTAAAGGTGAGATACAGAATAGATTCAACATCCCGGTAAAAGAAGTTAATTTTTTTATTCAAGCTTCGAACGCAGTTCAAAAATATCTGAAAGATTTCATTTGAATAAATGAAAATCTACGCGTAAGTAATTTTTTTAATATAATGTTTTTAAAAAATTATGTAATTTAATTGATTTTTTTTAAAAAAAATAGAAATATTGCGAACATCGCTCACTCTCTCTCAAAATATGAAGAAATCATTGTAGTCTAGTTTATTATCTCTCGCATATAAAGAAATCGTCTAGAATCATTAACCCGTTGTAGTATAGTTCCGCATCTCTCTTATATGAAGAAATCATCTAGAAACATTAACTCGTCAGGTAAATTTTAAAAAGAAAATGTTTTTGCTGGTAGAATCAGCGTTTCAAAATTTTTTAGAACGCTATCGTATAACCGAGATCGAATATATCAATCCAACCATTTTTTTTAGAGATATAAAATCCGAAGTTTTTAATGTAATTACGAACTTTGGGAATGATTATAGAGTACGATTTGTGATTAGCTTAAAAGTAATAATGTACAAAAGCATAGAAATGGAAGATAAATACGAGTTTAAAGATTTTTTCTTTACGAGTTACGCCGAATGAGTTCTAAGCCCTTTTCTAGCTTGGAAAAGTATCGAGAATGCAATAAACAAAATTCTAGGAGATATATCTGTTGCGGTAGTATTAGGCAATGGGTGGGTAATTTACAAATTAGATTATATTGATATTCATAGAGCAACATATACTGCATATAATGGGGGTTGTGGTTCCATAATTTTACCTAAACGTTCAGTAAATAAAAAGTGTATTTTAAGTATTCGATGTAATGATAATAAATGCTTTGTGTATTGGATTCTCGCGAGTATTTTCCCATTGAAAAATAATAAAAATAATATATCTACCTATAGAAAATATTTAAAATTTATTAATTGTTCGAACTTAAAATATCCGGTTTCGTTGGAGCAAATATATGTTTTTGAGAAATCAAATAGTATTTCCATTAATATATATGGCTATAAAGATATTGTTTTTCCATATTATATAAGTAAGTTTAAATTCGGTAAAATTGCGAATTTACTATTATACCAAAATCATTATTTTTTAATTCGAAATTTCAACAGACTTTTACACGAAAAACAAAAGTCTCTTTATTACTATTGTAAAAATTGTTTAAACGGTTTTCAACGCGAATCGAGTTTAAATTTACATAGAGAAATATGTACAAATTTCAAATTTCAAAGACTATCGGTACCTACAGTCGAAAATTCCATTCTTAAATTTAACGAATTTCATAAGATGCTTAAGCATCCTGTTGTCGTTTATTGCGACTTCGAATGTTTAACAGAAACAGTTTCTAACGCGATGCAATCAACAGATACTAGCTTTAGTACCGTTACGCAAATTCATAAACCGATTTGTTATGCGATGGTCGTATTAGATAAAAACGAAACAATTATCTATTCTAAATTTTATTGCGGCTTAGACGTTATAGACAATTTTTTAGAAACTTTAAAACATCAATCGGAACGTCTTATTAAAGAAATAAAACTTAATATTCCATTAGATCCTCGAACAATTCCAAATTCTATTAATCGAGATAAATGTAATATTTGTGGAAAAAAGTTTTCCCCTAACGATGTAAGCGTAATTGATCATAATCATTTAAATGGAAGGTTTCGACAGGTAGCGTGTCAGGGATGTAATTTAAATTTAAATCTAAAACCTTTTATTCCCGTAGTTCTTCATAATTTTTCTGGTTACGATTCGCATCTAATTTTAAAACATATTTCTAAAAAATATATATCCTCTCTTAGAATTATTCCCATCAATATGGAAAAATACACTACATATACTTTAGATTGTTTTAAATTTTTAGACAGCTACCATTTTTTAAATTCATCATTATCAAGTCTAACTGAGGATTTAATAAATTCAAAATACAACTTTCCGATTTTTAATCAATTTTTTTCGAATAATAAAAATAGCTATTTATTAAAAAGAAAAGGTGTTTTTCCATATAATTGGTTTAATAATATTTCAAAATTAAATAATAATTCTTTACCGGATAAAAAATGTTTTTACAACGATTTAACTAGAAGTCATATAAGTTCGGAAGATTACGATTTAGCTCGGCTTGTGTGGAAAGCTTTTAATTGTAGGAAATTTTCAGATTATTTGCAATTATATCAATTTGTCGATACAATTTTACTAGCTGATATTTTTTCAAATTTTCGAAACTTATCGTTAAAATATTACGATCTCGATCCAATTCATTTTTTAACTTGTCCAAATCTTACATTTATTGCGGGATTGAAAATGGCTAAAATAGAACTAGAGCTATTTACCGATTTAGATAAATACTTATTTTTTGAATCTTCAATCAGAGGTGGTTTATCGCTTCTTGCAAATAGATACTCTCATGCAAACAATCCGTACATATCACAAACTTACGATAATTCGAAACCCCATAGCTACATAATAACGATTGATAGCAATAATCTATACGGATTGAGTATGGTTCAATATCTCCCATATTCAGAGTTTCGTTGGTTGCAACAATCTGAAATTGACGAATTTAATATTAAAAATGTATCTTCAAATTTCGAAATAGGGTTTATACTCGAAGTTGACTTAAAATATCTAGTTTCGCTTTACGACAGACATAATGATTTACCCCTTGCAGTAAGTCACGAAACAATAGAATACGATGATTTATCCAAATATCAGAAATCACTTTTATCTTCTTTAAATCTAAAATTTAACAATAATGCTAAAAAATTAGTCCCGACTTTAAAAGATAAATTACATTATATTGTTCACTATAGAAACTTAAAATATTATCTAAAGGAAGGTTTAATTTTAAAAAAAATTTATAGAATACTTTCTTTTAAACAATCACCTTACTTAAAACCATATATATTTTTTAATAATAAAAAACGAAAACTTAGCAATAGTCAATTTGACAAAAACTTCTTTAAATTAATGAACAATAGCTTCTATGGTAAATGCATGCAAAATGTGCGTAAAAAATTAATTTAAAAGCCGGATTGAATAAAGACCAATGTAAAAAGTATCTAAACGATCCTGTGCTAGAAAGTTTCCAAATAATGAACGAAGACTGTAGTGTTTTTAGATTAAAGAGAACAAATTTATTACTCGATAAACCGTTATACATAGGTTTTTGTGTTTTAGAGTTGAGTAAGTTACATATGTACCAAATACATTACGAAGTATTTAAAAATTATTATAAAGATAGGGTTAAACTTTTGTATACAGATACCGATTCTTTAATTTTAGAAATTTACACAGACGATATTTACGACGATTTTAAAAATAATCTTTCAAACATATTTGATTTTAGTAATTATCCTCCAGACCATCCATTATATAGCGAAGAAAATAAAAACGAATTAAGATTTTTCAAAGATGACGCAAAGTCATTACCAATATCGGAATTTGTAAATTTAAAAGCTAAAATGTATTCGATTTCTGGAGAGCATTATGAGAAAAAAACGGCAAAAGGTATAAATAAATCAGTTGTTAAATCAACTTTTGATCACAAACTATATAAAACTACTCTATTTAAAAAACAACAGCTTCGTCATAACCAAACTCAAATAGTTAGTAAAAATCACGTGATCACAACTCAGTTTCAAAATAAAATCTCACTTTCTGCTTTTTACGATAAGAAATACATTTTAAGTAACAGAATAGATACTTTATCTTATGGTCATTATTCTATTTCTTCATAATCAATTTTTTCAATTTGTTTATTATTGTATTTTATACAATATAAAATACATTAATATTTAAACATTATTGTATTCATTATGTAAAAAAAATGAAAAATGTAATCTTTTAAATAATATTATAATTGTTATTTTTAATGAAAAAAAATGTATTCGTTTATTATTATTGTATCCGTTTTTGTATTAATTTTATATATTATTGTATTCATTATTTTAAACAAGAACTTGAAAACGTTGTGGATTGGGACCTTATTTCGAAGCATCAAGAATTATCCGAAAAATTTATGGAAGATTACAAGCATAAACTTAATTGGTGTATCGTCATTGCTAATCACAAACATTTATCAAACAAATTTGTATCGAATAATTATCATTTTACTCTGGTTTATGTTTTATCGAAAATATGCGAAAAGTTATAATTTTTTTTTCCTAAAATAATTTTAACATAATCTTTATTTTTTAAAATATAATTAATAAAATTTATACGCTTATGTTTTTTGTATAATCTTCAAATTAATATATCGTTGTAACCCTTATTCTTTATTCCAATAAAAGAGTGAAAGAGAGAGAAAGAGTTGTTGTGTCATTTATTTAATCACTGTCGCGACACAATAAATACCGTTAAAAATTAAAACAAAAAAAGTCGATCGCTTGTATATTAAAAAAAAAAATCAGTTCTCTTATCTAAACAAAAATTACAAATATATAGTTATCGCATATTAATATATTTTTAAAAATCTAAGTCCGTTTTTACAATATATCTTAAAAAAAATATTAGAAAACGTCTTATAACGGGAGCGATTTATTCCAGAAACTCTCGTTCAAATCTCGCAGAACAGTATAACCGAAGGGGCATCAAAAATGGGTGTGGTTTCGACTCCTATGAGAGTTTTTGGGATGGTAATTATCTCTGAATCGCTCGAGAGATTCTGCGATTTTGCTCAATTTTAGCCCCTGCTCGACGTCTTTCCCTCAAAATGATGAGAGTTTCTGAGATAAAAGTTATAANAATTTAGCATTAAACATAGCACTTAAAATTAATTGTTAATAATTAATAGTGTTATATCTTTGTTTATAATTCAGAATCAGAATGAATAAAGTTTCAAATTACCTAAATCTGAGGCATACAATGTCCATGAACAATGAAACAAATCTACTGATTCATGAGGATAATTCGGTGTCATTATTTCTCCTCCATTATCAGCAAGTAATTTGGCTCCACAAACTATAAAATAAATTATAATAATTGATAACTTGATAAAGATCANTTACCTAAATCTGAGGCATACAATGTCCATGAACAATGAAACAAATCTACTGATTCATGAGGATAATTCGGTGTCATTATTTCTCCTCCATTATCAGCAAGTAATTTGGCTCCACAAACTATAAAATAAATTATAATAATTGATAATTTGATAAAGATCAAAACCAATAAATATTTTTTAACCACTTAATAGATTTTTCTCAAAAATCTATTAAGATAGAAAAATCTATTAAGATAATAAAAATAGATAATACCTACAAACCAGCGTGAAGTAGAGTTAATTATATAAAATACAGTATAGAGCATCGATTATCTGAATGCCAATCAACCGAAACATTGGTTAACCGAAAGCATTCCAGTCAGACTGTGTTGTGCTGAATTGAATATTTTTGATACTAGATTAACTTCTAAAGTATAATTTTTTTGTTTTTATATTTTTTAATATATTTATTTTTTTGTACAAAATAAAGAAATAATTTTTAACAATACAATAGCCACGATTATTATTTTTAAAAGTTTACGTTAGGCTTAACATCAACAAAAATTCAACGCAAAGCAACACGCAACAGAGAAAAATTTCAGCATGGGAGAGGTTAATATATTTTTTCGTACATAATCAGTTATCCAAAAAATAAGTTATCCAAACAACCCCAGTCCCCAATTGATTCAAATAAACAACACTCTACTGTACCTACAAACCAGCATGAAGTAAAGTTAATTATATAAAATACAGTAGCGTGTCGATTATCCAAATGCCAATCAACCAAAACATTGGCTAACCGAAAGCATTCCAGTCAGACTGTGTTGTGCTGAATTGAATATTTTTTATACGAGATTAACTTCTAAAGTATAATTTTTTTGTTTTTATATTTTTTAATATATTTATTTTGTTTGTACAAAATAAAAAAATAAATTTTAATGATACAATAGCCATGATTGTTATTATAAAAATTTTCATTAGGCTTAACATCGACGAAAATTCAACGCAAAGCAACGTGCAATGGAGAAAATTTTAAAAACGGGATATATTAATACACTATTATTGAATGTAGTAATATACTATATTAATAATGTATTTTTTCATACATAATCGGTTATCTGAAAAATCGATTTTCCAAACAAACCCAGTTCCCAATTGATTCAGATAATCGGCGCACTACTGTAACAATATTTGAGTTTTGTAAATAAGTAATTAGTTTTGTTTTGAAGTAATTGTAGCATTGTATTAATTTTTTGATTGTCTACAAATGTATTAACTTAATTTAATTGATTAAATATTGTTCAATACCTGTTTTATAATTAATATTGAATCCTTTTCCAGTTTGTGATCCATCAGCCTTCATTCGTAAATACATTTGATTAGAAGTAGTTCTATAAGAGTTTATTTCTGGTGCTCTCTGATCACAATACTTCAGCAACAATGGACTCTCTTCAGAAGCACCATCAAAAATCTAAGATAAAATTTAATGAAATAATAAAAAAACAAATGGTGTTTTCATGAAAAATTTTGATCTTTAATAAATGATTTATCATCAAACACCTATTGAAATATTAATTGTTGTACATATCTGACACTAAAGTAAAAAGATTTAAACAACTAGATATCACAGATGGAATAAAACATATAAACCATAATCAATTAATTTAATCATTCACTCAAAGGATCTAAATTATCAGATTATTATTAACATCTTTAAGTCAAATTACATTGTTTAATCAGCTAATTAATAGCAATATTACAGCTTAATAATAATAATAATCTAGTAGTTTTGGTTCTAATAATTTCAGCTTCTAACTCAAAAAGTACAGAAATAAGATACTTTCACCTTCATTTTTTTTTTGCATCTTCAGTTTGTAATGAATACACTTTAAATTTAAAAAGAATAACAGAATTCATTTTTAACTTAATTTTAAATCTATAATTAAACTCTTTTTTGCAAATACACATTGACATAAAATGTATTATAAATAATTAATACCCTTTAAAAGTTAATAAATTATAAAATTTATACTTAGTTATAATTAGGGTTAGACCGAATATTCAACATTATTTGGTATTTGGGATATTTGACCCCAAAGTATGTATTTGGTTTTCAGCCATATACTAAACAGTAAACACATATGTTTAATATTCATCCCAAATACTTTCTCAAAATCAAACTATTTGGCCAAATAATATTTTAGTTTGAAGAGAAAAAGAGAGAGAAAAAAGGAAATAAACAAACAACTATTTATTGTGACACTGTCACAATGCCAGGCTGCAATTGTTAATTATATTTTTAAATTATTTAATTTAAATTATATGCTTCCATCTCAAATTAGTAGTGTCTGGTCCCTGTACATAATACTTTTCTTCTTAGCAAGCCCCTGTATACATACTTTTCTTGTTAGCAATCGAGTCATGTTGGTCATGTATCTAACTCCTTTGAGGAGAAAATTTTTTAACTGAAACAACATGACTTCTTGTTTGCATTGTATATAGTTAATCTCTATTAAACCTATTATCCTTGAGGGAAATTTTATATATCCTTGGTGTTCTTTCTTTGTCCTTATAGAGACCTTGTATACATTGGGTCTACAAGAAGATCTCTCAAACAATGCTTCCCTAAACACAAAACAGATATTAAAAAAAGAAAAAACCCACTGCCTTGGCTATACATGCCAGTGAGATCAAGATTATATCAGAACTACAACAGGTTACTATAATATGACAAACCCATCATATAAACCAATTTAGGAATTTGGAGGCATTTAAAGCAGACCACCAGAACCATTCAATCAATTTTAAAGACAAAAAAACAAATCTCAAAGATATGGCAAGCTATGTATGACCTGACACTATAACAAACAATGCATGCACACATATGTAAATATTCATAAAAAGAAGCATTTGAAATTTGAATACTTCAGAGCCAAACAGAACACCAAAAACACCAGAAAGAATCTTTTATTGAAAAATCTGCCTGAAAACATTAGTGATAATTTTCATAAATAAGTGCAAAGTACAATAAGGTTAGTACATTTTGTTTATAACTAATGAATTGTTTAGTGGATTTGGTTTTATCTATATATGTAATTTTACAAAACATTTATTCAATAGATTTTTAAACATCATTAAAATTTTCTACAGTAATGCCAAGTAAGTGAATTTTGATTAATTTTTTAATAACATATGCAACCAACTCAATAATTAATTCAAATATCAAACAAATAGCCAGAATTAATTTTTTTGTTCAATTTTCTGTTTTATTTTCTGTGTGTTGCATAGAACAAAAAAAAACAAAATTTAATTTTGTCCAAATAGGTATTTTGTATGTTATCAGTGAAAGACTAAATAAAAGACTAAAAGAAAAAATTTTATTTATGTCTGTGAATTTTCAAATTTTTTCCTGGCATACAAGATTATTATAAATAAAAATTTAATACCTATTTTTCAAACAGTATTGATTTACAGTGACTATGAAGTTTACTTACAGCTAAGTAACTTCCTGAACAATTTGTGCTTGATGGCATATTAAACTCTGTAAAAGTAAATTCAATCAAATAGTTTTTGTCAACTTCTATTAACCATGAACAATCATCAGAAACATCGTAATTTTGAGGATAATTTGGCGAAACTATATTCCCAGAAGATGCTTTATATAAACCACCACAACCTATTTAAATAAGAAAATTTAAAAATTTATTTTTAATTAAAGAATATATGTTACTTCTGTACAGGGTGGCCCAGACCACTTGTACTGTACATCACCTTTTAAAATGAAGGAAAGCAAGTTTCATCAAAAGTCCTAAAAATTTCTATGAGTAAATGAAATATGCTCTATTGCAACGATGGGCAACCCCCGGCCCGCGAGATGTTTAGAAGAAATTATAAATAAATATTTTTCGATGTAATTCGTCTAGTTTAAATTGAATATTATTTTCTGAAGTGTTGCGGCAGCAATGACAGGAAAAAATAAGGGAGTCATTTC